GGGAAAGGGGGAGGGCGATCTTGGAGAAACCCTCGATAAACCTGCGATAGTAACCAGCTAATCTGAGAAAACTGCGAACTTCGGACGGATTCCTTGGTGTCGACCAGTTCTGCACGGCTGAAACTTTAGAAGGATCCACCTCGATGCCTGCCTGGGTGATAACATGACCCAGAAAAGATACTCGCTGAAGCCAGAACTCGCATTTGGAGAATTTGGCGTATAACGTCTCTCGTCTGAGGGTTTCAAGAACTACCCTCAGATGCTCCTCATGCTCTTTCTGACTCTTCGAGTAGATACGGATATCGTCAATAAAGACAATAACGAACTGATCGAGGTATGGATGAAAGATACGGTTCATGAGATCCATGAACACTGCTGGCGCATTGCTGAGACCGAAAGGCATGACTACAAACTCGTAATGGCCGTAACGAGTCCTGAAAGCGGTCTTAGCGATGTCTGACTCCTTAATCTTCAGCTGATGGTATCCTGATCGCAAATCAATCTTTGAAAATACACAGGCTCCCCTCAACTGATCAAATAAGTCGTCAATCCTGGGAAGCGGGTACTTATTCTTGATCGTCAACCGGTTGAGATCCCGGTAGTCGATACACATTCGCATAGATCCGTCCTTCTTCTTGACAAAGAGAACGGGTGCTCCCCATGGTGACACACTCGGTCGGATAAAACCGAGTCGTAACAACTCCTAAATCTTAGTCTTAAGCTCCTGTAACTCTTTAGGCGCCATGCGATATGGGGCTTTGGATACTGGACCGGCCCCTGGGATAAGATCAATCGAAAACTCCACCTGACGGTTGGGCGGTCCTCCGGGAAGCTCGTCTGGGAAGACGTCAACAAACTCGCGAACGATAGAAACATCATGAGGTGTCTGCGCTTTCTGAGAATCCTCAACAAGGCTAACCAGGTAACCCTGGCAGTTGCCTCGTCGCAATAACTTAGTGGCTTTTGCCATCGAAACAACCTGAGGCAGTGAACGGTTCTTAGAGCCGAAGAAAGTAATCGACTCGTCTCCCGGAAGATAAAGAGTAATCTCCCGGTCATGACATCGGATGTCTGCGTGATAGAAAGATAGCCAATCCATCCCGAGAATAAGATCGAAATCTCTCATCTCGAGAACGAACGCGTCGGCAGTCAATACACGGCCACCGATGGAAAGGCTAAGATCTGAGGCTTTGGCTGAGGTCACTATCTTTCGTCCCGAGGCTAAACTCACCTCGAGAGGATCGACAGCGGTAACGGAATGAACTCCAATGGCATCGAGACATCGGCGTGAAATGAAAGTGTGCGTCGCTCCAGTATCGAATAGGGCGAACACAGGAATATCATTGAGAACAACCATCCCGGACATAGTACCTGGTTGTTGTGCTGCCTCCACCTGATCGACCGCGTAAACCCTGGCCTGCTGCCTACCCCTCTGCTGCTGCTGCTGCTGAGGCAGCCTCTACGCCTGCTGTCGTGGCTGCTGCTGCTGTGGTAGTTGCTGAGGCTGCTGCTGGAGTCTCCTCGGACAGCGACTAGCAAAATGTCCCGGCTCATGGCAGTAGTAGCAGATGTCCTGTCCCATATGGCACTCTCCCCTGTGAAGTCGACCACAAGTCGGGCACGGTGGAATCGGCTGCTGTCGCTGTCGAGTCCTCCGATCAGTCGGTGCACCCTTTCCCTTCCTCTTCTTCTCCTTTGCTGACTGAGGAGCTGGTAGAGCTGGTGGAGCTGCAAATGGCTGAGCTGGGGCGGATGGCTGAGCACGATCACGAACGGCCTCCCTCCTGATACTAGCGTCAACCTCCTGGGCGATAGAGACTGCTCGTGCATACGTCTGTGTCCCATGTCCCACAATGTTATGACGGACTGCTGGGTAAAGTCCGTCAATGAACCGCTGAGCTCTCTGGGCCTTCGTGCGAACAAGATCCGGTGCAAAACCTGCAAGTCTGGTGAACTCACGCTCGTACT